AACTCCAGTCCTTGCACTTACGAGGCAGGTGGCGGAACCACTGAGCTAAATCCCTGGCCCACGCTTTCCTTCTTTAAAGAAGTACAATATGACAGCGTGAGAAGCCTGGTACCTAGTTTTTACATTGCTGCTAGAAAGCATATAAATATCCTGCTTCTCAGAGCAGATTTTAGATTATAGTAAGTCTATCCATCTTAATTACTAATTTCAGACAACAAATACTTTAAGTAATAGTTACCGGCTAGCTAGTACCATATAACCAATTGACAGTTTCTGAACAACCATTTTTATCATAGTCATCTTTTTGTGAGCCTGGAATTACAATGGGACATATCTGAGACTGTCGATCAATGTTCCATGACCCTTGGTGCATCAGGTAGCATAGATTTAATGGCTGGAGTTGCTGGGATGGCTAGATGGGAGCCTTGATTGGTTGCTCTCTTAGTTCTCTATAGCACATCTTCTCTGCTGGAATATCCAAGATGCCTTCTTTTTCATCTGCCTGAACTTTGAGTTGGAGTGGCTGAAACAGGCACAGTTGGCCAGGGATGTATCTCCCTTTCTGTTCTCATCTCTTCCTTACTTCCATCCTGTCCCCTTTCCTCCCACCTATGTGATCTTTACACATGACTAATTAGGACTTCCTCACAATATGGCGGTCTCAGTGTACATAGACCTTTTAGAAAGTAGCTGGCTCTCCCTAGAAGAAGCTTTCCAATGAGCGAGTACTAAGAGGCCCATGTGGAAATACCAAGACTTCTTATGGCTTAGTCTCAGATGTCCCTTCTACTTTTTCTATGGGTCAAACAAGTTACTAAGGCCAAATCAACTTCAAGGAGATGGGCAGGATAGATGTGGTGGAGGTGATACAATGGTAGAGCCATGAAGGAGTCAACATTGCCATTTTGTTTTAGAAACTAGGTTTCTGTAAGAGGACACCGGTCCTCATTCTCAGATCTTTAGTTTTTTTGTTAATATTCTAACTTTTTGTGGTCCCACGTGTGTTGTCCTTTCAAAGCACCACACATTTTATTATTAAGTTAAAAATTCTAATTTGTTTCAAAGATACTACTTCAAATTGTTTACATCAGTTTCAGATCCACAAATATAAAAAGATGCCCTTGGTTTTTCATGGAACTCT